GTAGCTGCAGGTATTGTGGAGTGATTCATTCTCATAGATCACACCAGTAAATCTGAAATGGAGTTTCAGTTTTTAACAACTTCAGCTCTCGTACCATTGTAGCCCTTATGGACGTAACTTCAGCAAGTTTTACATTTTGGCAATTTGGCCAGTGTCAGTTTTAAAACAAGTATTATTATTATAGATAAAAATATACATTTTGTTCTATAATTTGTCTCATTTAAAATGACACTAACATGATGTTTTTGGCACAAAGTACTGCACAGGAAAAACATTTTTTTTTCCAAATGATAAATTAATTCTTGGACAAATTCGAAGGACTCTGTGAATGATACCACACCCAAAATGAACATACAATATTTACAAGAAAACAACAGGCTTTAGAGGTACCAGAAACACCACTTGTGATTCCATTCAATAAAAAAATTATTTATTCGATCATTAAAAAAGTAAAGTAGCAAAATTATGTTAAAAACAGATAAAAGTGTCCATTTTTACATTATAAGCTTCCCTAATGGCATCCACGATGAGCTAGCTAGGAATTATATATCGGCCTATTTATTACATAGATTATTACTTAGATTCATATGTAGTCTGTTGTAGGTTGAGGTCCAAGTATCGCCACAGGTAGCTACTCCTCTACGCGTTTCACTCCCATAAAAGGGGCTTCCTCAGGAGGGATGGATGCTCTACATGATTAGACAAATATATATTATCCATCTATTATAAACATAGTCACCATGATATTTGCATGAAATGTTCATTATTAGATTCATACTGTGTGTATTTCAAAAGAAGCATACACATACAAAACAAATGAAAAACAAAAAGATAATCTTGCCTGTATATATGGCCAAGGAAGCAGAAGGAGGACAGCAGGGCAGTGAACTCAAACCAGAGTGCACTAAGAATGCAACTATTGATGACCAATTCAAACGCCAGTTTTCCCTGGGGGGCAGGCAAAGAGATCACAGAGCTGTACATTCCCAGTAACTGGAGGAGGTGAAAAGAAGCGACCAAAAAGGAAAAATAGAGGATTGGAGATTTTGAAACAAATGCTCCATCCAATGACTCACCTCTGAATGAAACAAAAAGGAGTTGGGAAAAATGCTCCAATGGTTTTGCCATCCAAAGAGACAACAAAAGCAAAGTGACAACTTACATGACTTTTCAGTAAAAGCCTATGACCTGGGGGTTCCGCATGGTGCTAACCAGGTACCGTATGAAGTCTTGGATGGGAAATGTGTAGACTCTCCTTAAGGTGGCAATACACTTTACAACCATCGCAAGACCTTAGTCTTGCGATGGTTGTAAAGTAATTTAAAAAAAACATACAATCTGCCCATCTTGGACAGGCAGATCATACTTGCGATGACCGCAATGCTGAACGGGCAGTGTGCGCGTGCGCACACCGGCCAGAGCGGCATTGATCTTACGATCATGCTAAAAACCAGCTGAAAATCGTACGATTCTCGGCTGGTTTTCTAACATGCTCCTTAGACAAAAGACGTGCGACCGTACAGTAGAAACGGTCGCACGACTTCATTCACACTGCACGATTCTCGTACGATCGTAGTACTCCCTCGTACGAGAATCGTGCAGTGTATGGGCACCTTTAGATCAGGCATAGAGAGGCTATTATTGTCACACTTACTTTGGATAAGCCGAGGCAGCAGTGGATTTGGTCCAACTATCAATATTGATGTCTCTCTGGGTGATGGCAAGACATGCTCTGTGACTGAAGCTAATTTCTGAAGGACTCTTGGGATTAGATGCAACGGGGGAAATGCGTAGCATAGGGGGAAGTCCCATGGATTTGACAGGGCATCCACAGCCAGAGCGGAATCTCCCTGCTGGAGGGAAAAAAACTGCCTTAGTTTTGTATTCTCCTGAATGGCAAAAAGATCTACTACAGGCACACCCCATGTCTCTGAAATCAGTGAAAATACTTAATGGTTCAGGACCCATTCGTCCTGCAGTATCCGATGCCGACTCAAATAGTCTGCCAGGATGTTGTGGGTACCCCTCAGGTGTACCGCAAACAGGGACTTTAGATTCACTTCCGCCCAGGAAAATATTTCCTTGGCTAGAAGCTGCAGCGGCCAACTTCTTGTGCCCCCCTGCTTGTTCAGATAAACCAACGCCGTGATGTTGTCTGACAGAACCAACAGATTGTGATCTTTCAAAGTGTCGTGAAAAAACCTGATCGCATTCGCGACCGCTTTCAACTCTCTCCAGTTGGAGGATCTTCTGGAGTCTAGTAGAGACCAGCGACCCTGCGCTCCCCATCCCCACGCACTGGCATCTGTAGTCAAGCGTATGGAGGCTTGAGAACTCCACTCCAGACCCGCCCGAAGGTGTGGATGAATTCTCCACCACCACAGGCTTCTCTTTACTGAGGGGGGGAGGGAGAATGCAACGTCCAATCCCTCTTGCGAGCGATTCCAGTTCCTCAGGAAAAAGTGGGGAGGAGATTACATCTCGTGATGCTGTCCTGGAAGACGTTATGGGAAAAAGAGCTTGTGCACTATATTCTTTGGCAGAAAAACACTAGAGATGCCAATCTAGAGGTTCACAGGTGGAGGGGGGGAAAAAAAATCAGTTTCTTCCCCAGGATAAGAAAAGGCAGCTTTTCAGCTGGGCAGAGGATCAAGAGACCAGTTTTGAGATGCACTTTTCCAGGGCATGTCTGGAGTATTTCCAGTACCTCTGGAAGAGTACACAAGGATAATTCCTCAAAAAGGTGGAACTCAAGTTGGCCCAGACTAGGAAAAACAAACTGAAAATCTGCAGAGAAGATTGGTCAGCTTCAAAACCAGGCTCTGCAGATAAAGATGTTGAGATGGTACAGATTTTGCATGTTTCCTTGGGACTACAAATTAGACTAATACCAGTTGTGTTTTGGGCTCACTGGCATGAGTTATCTTGGATTGTGTGTATCATTGCAGGAGAAAACAAAAACTAACAGATTCTCTCATGATGGGATATCAGAAGGTCCAATAAGTGGTGGACAGACAGGTCCAGCCTTTCGCCAGGCAGGCTCCTCAAAGCTGGAGATTGGAACATTGTTACTTTTTTTTGTCAGTCTCCGGGTTGAGGGGCTCACTGTCAGGGAAGATAGGCAAAGGAACAGTGGCTTCATAGCTCTACATTGACTTCAAAACACTTGGTGTCCTCAAGCCATTGAAAGTTTTTTTTTTTGGTCCAATCAAGGGTTAACAAAGCAATGTTGCTGAACAACATGACAGTTTGCCATTTGGTATGGCAGGGTGGAGTTAGGAGTCTAGTTACAAATTTCATTGAAGATGTTTTCAGTGGACAGAGAACAAACAAGGTTATTCACAAAAGGGTGAAGAGTGGTGAAAGCAGAAGTGAACAATCTAGGCCAAAATAGCAGGTGTATAGAATACTCCAGAAAAATTATCTGAAACAGCATATTCATCTGCATGGTGAGTGACTGTTAGCAAAACAATGCTGTATAGATATGACTGTGGTATGAAAGTGGACCTGATGCAACTCCATACACCTGCACTTTCTCCCCAATCTTCTGCCTTCATGCCATCTCTCAAGATGTATTGACGAAACCATTCTGGTGTACACTTCTGCCTGTAAATAGTCAACAATCCAGTGTACCCATCGCACTCCTGACTGATTAATACCCTTAGAGACGGGTGGGTTACAAAGGAACTGCAGATGCCTCTGCAATCTAAGATAAGTATGCATGTATAAAGCCACTCGCACTCCAATAGAATTTTAAGTCAAAAACGGTTTGACTCGATTGCCATTGCATCATATAGCGACATTTCGGAACAGCGGTTCCTTCTTTAGGCAAACCGAATTCTATTGGGAGTGCGAGTGACTATACATTTCTGCCTGTAGTCCCCTGCTAGACTTTCCGGAATTGCCATTCTACCTTGAATTTGTAGGCCTGGAGATTGAACAGCACCAACTGAAGTATCAGAAGTTATCGCAGTCCTAAATACCCTTCTAGTCAAAAAATTTAAAACAAGGCAACTTGTCACATGGTTCGGAGAAATATATTTGAATTTGGGAAGGAACAGAATCCTCCTGAAAATCAGATCTCAAACTTTCTGCAGATGGTCTTAGATTGTTTTAAGCTCTCATTGCACTAATAGGGGTTTAATGGGCAGTAGACTCCTTATTTGTGCAGTTTATAGAAGGAGGCCATGGAAGTGAGACATCTAAAGACCTCAGTTGTGCTAAAGTGGGACCTACCACTAGTTTTTCACAGTCCTATTGAATTTGTTCGCTGTGGCACTTAATGTTAAAGACCATCTTTCTGGTAGCCTATTCTTTCAACACCAAAGTCATTTGCAAGCCAGTTGCTGGATTTTCAGACAGTCTTGCCTGCTTTAGGCTGGGTTGACACCTAGGTAATTTTCCATGTTTATGTGCAATTCATGTGCATAAATTAAGTCATGCATTTTTGTGAGCAGATTGTAGCCCACTCATGTTAAGCAAATGAATAAAAATGCACAAAACCAAAAGCGCATTTTCAAGCGTTTGACTCTATGGGGCCAAAACAAACAAAAAACCCACACCTCTCACTTTTTCCACTGACAAGCATTTTGATTGTGAGAAAACTCTGAACAGGCCCATAGAAATGAATCCCGTGAATTCTGCTGCAGGCAGTTGTACTGCAGGCAGGGACGAGTCTGCAGTGCCATTGACATGAATGGTACCGCTATGCCCCCTCCCACCCCAGAATACAGCCCGACTTGATATAGGTAATCCAGTGCATTCCAGACTCAAAATGCACTGGATTTGGGGTGACAGAGCTCTAAATCATAACTTTTCTAGTTTTGAACAAGATCACAAATTAACATGAATGTTACACAATTTTTCCCCAATTTCCCAAGTGCAGAGTTTTTTTTATCTTGAAACATGTTTAACGGTTTGCACTGGTGCGCCATCATTCCTATAAAACAAGTCAAACATTGCTTACAAATAGTACATAAAAGAAACAGCAACAACCTAAAGCAGATTTAATATCCTTCTTTATTTAGATGTTTTTGCTTTCGTACTACATTTTACAAGCTGGTGAACACTGGTAACTTTTTCTCCCACAGTACTAACACCACACATTCCCAAGACAGTATAAATATATGGTTGAGCTAACATTAATACAGAACACTTTTTAATAATCAATTACATATTAAACAAATTAAGTATCCAAATATTAAGTTACACAGCTCAAAAGGCATACAAAATATTACAGACAATAAGCTCCGCCTTGGCAAAAGAAGAACCCAAGGGAAGGGTAAAATAAAAAAAAAAAATCACAAAGCAAATGTTGTAAAACTGTCCGAATGTACAGTAAAAGAAAGGACCTTAAAGAATCCAGCAACGTTAAAGCATCTACATATTAAAAATATTTACGGAAGAAAAAAAAAAAAGGGGCATATTCTACACTTCCTGCACAAGACAAAGGCAACATTTTACTAGAAAAAAAAAACTACACTGTAAAGGTCCTCCAATATCAAGATGCACCACAGGGTGCAAACATTAAATTCAAACAGTAAGGCTTTGTCTGGAGAATTACTATGTGGTCTGTGTGCTTCTATAGAACAGAAAGGTGGAGAAAGGGATAGCAAGATGTATATGGCATTAGGCCTACTCAATGTCTGAGTGATTGGCAATTTAGAAAAGAAAAAGTCACCTGTACACCATAGATGTGTGCAAGTCCTGACGTTGCAGAACATGTAAACATACAGTGAGCAGCCAGCAAATACTGAAATCTTTTTATAGTTTCAACCTGTTAAAATAGTGCCAGAAACCACATCTGACAAATTGCACAGGAAAGTGAAGTTGAGATGTGCTGGATTTTTGGCATTGTGTACTTCATCAGCCGACGTTAATCTTAAGAAAACCAAGATGACAATTTTAGAACTGCATGATTATACAGAATTAGGAGGGACATCAATTCAAAACACAATACGCAAATTCAAGCTCAGTTACATGATTATTCTTCTATTTGACATCAGCAGTTTTGCAACTGCTATGGGCTGTAACCTACACATTTTCCAAAGCATTACTTGACCTATAAAGCATCAACTAGGTGTTAGCATTGGATTTTGCCCAAGTCTGCATTTCTCATTCAGTTTTTCTGCAGCCAGCCGTTAACTTCTACTGAATGCAACAAGTATTCCGATGACCATTGGAATCTTTAAATCGTAGCCGCATCTTCGGACGATACTTCTCCAGGTAGAGCAGCTGTTTGCTATTAAATGCTCCACGACGTTTTCTGTTAAAAGCAGGAAAAATAAATGCTAATACAACAGATTCAGAAATAATTCACATTAAGTTAAAGCCAAAGACTAAATGCAAGAACACACCAAGAATCAGGATCCCTTCAATTCTAGGCATTTTAAGATCAAATATCAGTTCTAAGAAAACTGCTTCGTCTAGGTCAGTGGTTCTCAACCTTTCAAAGGCCCGGACCTCTTGGTAACATTTGCCAAGTTGGGGTGACCACCAACAGTCAAATTTAGGGATGACGCGGCTGCTGCAGCGACATCTGGCGGCATGGCGAGAGAACTGACACTGCAGCGCAGGGAGAGGGCTGACGTGGACTCACCTAGCACAGCAGAAATAACAGTGACCCACAGCTTGAGATCCACTGTTCTACATGCTTTTTGAAGCTGAAATACCCTTCCTAGAACAGCAGACTCCTGACATTACTTGCTTAGAGTAGAAAGCACAATCTTTTTGGTAGCTGCACTGTGGATATAACTGCGTTATTAACGCCCAGGGCCGGATTTACTCTCCCTGCTGCTCCAAGGCCAGGTTGCACAACGCGCCCCCCTCCCAGCTAACCCCCCCAACTTGTTGCCATTCAATCGAGAATGGCAACCAGATGGGAGGGTTAGTTTTATTTTTTTTAATTGCTGTTTTTACTTTTATCACTTATTTATCTTATCGTTTACTTTATTTTTAATAATTTTTTTATCTTTATAATTTTTTTAAATAATTTTTTTTATTTCTTACTTTATTTTTTTCCCCACTTAACTTTATTGCTATCACAACAGAGCTAACAAGCCCCTGTGTAATAGCAATTGGAGGTGACAGGTTCTCTTTATTGACCCCATCACCTCCAATACAGGAGTTCTAGCACAGCACTGTGCTGGAACTCCTGTGACAGGTTAGAGGGGAGGACTGCTATCCCCTCACTGTGCACACGGAGTGGCAGGTTTACTTTTAACCCTGTC